AGCCACACCAACACGCCGGGAGGTAGAAGTGCAAAGATTAGGCCAATCCCTGTACTACCCATCATTCCCATGCTCGCTGAAGCACAATGCATTGCAGTCCCATAGACACTAGCCCCAGAGTTCCTTCTAGAGGATATATAGAAAACTATGAGTACTGAGGTCACCATTTTGATTGTTTTCGGACCCTCGAACCCACCGTGCCAAGGCTGTCGTGCCCTCGAACTGAAAATGCCGCAATCCAGCACAGCCGTAGCTTAGGCCGCATGGTACCGTTATTGCTGTTATGGTGCTGTGCAGCCTGTGCTCCAACACTGGCAAAAACTATGCTGTTGACCTATGGTCTGCCGTTGGCATGTTTGCAAACTCATAGAAGGGGGTTATGCAGACCCTGCAGAACCGTTTTTGCCACGCGAGCTTCATACTGGACGCCGAGACAGCTGTGTCACCCGGAGTGGATAGTGTGTGCGACGAACTCTCACCTGCAAACATTGCCTTCGACGGTCTGCACGTAGCTGGTGTTTCGATTCCAGCTGGAATAACCCTTGAGGGTTTCGCCTACGCTGACAAACACCTGGAGCTGTGTGTGGAATTGACCGATGACAAAACTATTTGTCAAGTTGGGGAAGATTCCGATAGCTTTGACACTGTGATCGAATAGGCAGTGCTTACGCAGCCAGTGATCTGGGAGTTGACATGAGCACTGACACTGTCATAGGTGTACAGCGACAGCATGATGTTAGCTGAAATTGAGGCAGACATCATCGCGGGCAAGTGGAACGCTGTTCAAATGAAATTAAACAACATTTTTTTTTGCACTCAAGTGTTTACAAAGGCGATAGCGCCGGCAATATCGCCAAACTATTTTTTTTGTGTATTTTAATTGAAAAGTGCTAACAACCCCTCAATTGACAAGTTAGGCTTTCTCGCGTTCAGGCGAAACCCATTCGCTCATGAAAGATTAAACCACATTCGCAATAAACTCACGCCATTGCAGTGAAGCGTGGTACCGCCACGTCAAACCAATCATCTCTGACTAGTTGCGTGCAGCACACCGTTTACTCGGCTTTTACCGTCACATGCCGGGTTGTTTGCAGTCCAATGCATGCACGGGTTTGCGCAGTCTTCGTGCATGCTTCACTGTTGATCGTGCGCAACACAATGAAGATGAACTTTGAAAAGCAATGCGTGCAAGTGGCCTCGCACAATGCAGGGGTGGGGAACTTGCAAACAGCAGCGTGACGCACTTGTACTGCCGTAATTTCCCCAAGTAGATATCTATAAATTAATGTGTTCTGGTTGCCAGCGATGAGTCAAAATGGCCCACTCATCACCACTCGTCACCTCGCCATTGCTGTTTTCTCATGCTTATCTGTTAAGGCACTGCCACAACCACGGGGAAGTCGTTATCACTAATCGACGGGTTTCAGCGACACGCAGTTTTTGGAAGGCTTTTCATGAAAACCTTTTGCGGCACATTGTGGTGTCAGCAGGTTGAGCATCGCAGTGAATCTTTATGCAATGAAATGTTATCGCCTCTTGTATTTATGGCTTCTTGCATTCGAAGGCATTGTTGGTGCATCGTCGGGGGTTGTAGATGCCGAGAACAGCGTCAGTAAAGTTCACCGTTCGAAAGCCACAAACTGCTTCATGCTACTTTTTATTTCTTTTTTTTCCCCTCACTTCCGTTCTGCCAGTGAAGAAACACCTGGAAAGTGAGCGACCCTGCTCACAGTGTTCGAAATCTGCAAGCGGTGCTCAACGGGGTTCACAATATCCTCGCTGCAAGTAAACTGCAACAGGGCGAGCGTGAGCGCGCGCCTGTCACATGCCTTAAAGTGTCTGTTCTAACATTTTTCTTTTTGCTTCGTATGCACCATATTTTTACCACGACTGTATCAGAAGTGCTCAATGTAAAAGTAGAAGGCTTTGAAAAATGTTTGCTGTATGTGAACTCAGTTTCAAAGGGTAGAGTAGAAAAATCGTAAGTGTACCGAATATGGTCGTTATAACCGATATATCATTATATCTGGGATCGATATAAGTGGGCTAGACTGTATAATGTGATTATTACCACAAGTGCTTTCTAAGTTGTCCTTCTTTTGCGTCCCACACAGCACCTTGTGCTCCGAACTTTTTTTTTTTTTTTGTCTGATGATTGCAATATGCCTTCTCTAAAGAGCAGTTCAAATAAGGTCTCTGTTTTATCCTTACCTTTATTTTCTGCTATATATATGCTACTACTAGCACATTTATATTCACTTTAGTTCACTCTTCTGCCAAGGCGATTTAGAAAACAGATATATCATTACATTGTGAGCTGACTGCTTGGTAAAATGACAAAATTGAGTTTGCATAATCAAAATGGAAATAACTGGGAGCCATCTTAAAAATTATAGAAATGCGATTCAAGAAACAACGTTATGTCAAATGGTCCGTTTTTCTAATCAATGAACCAACAAGCCATTTCAAGCAATTTCCCATAGATATTGATTTCTTTATTGCCTTACCTTAACAGGTAAATTGACGATACTTCATGCTTATTTGTCATATCTACTAGGAGTGTGACCTATATCATGCGTCTGAACTTATTGACCCTGAATATTAGAAAGAGAGCGGCTTTTCTATTTTAATTATAACTGTTTTTCTTTTCTAGTCCTCCCTATTTTTTTCACTATCATTCATTGCTAGGTAACCATAGCTATAGGAAGCAATAGCTTGAACAGCGGCGTTGTACCGCAACATTTTTTGCAACTATGCTGCCATGCAGTCTCTCTTTTTCTTTTTTTTTTCATTTGGTGTGATCGGGGTCTAAGTCACAAAAAACGTATGACCGCTTAGCGCAAGACATCCACAAAGTTTTGTAACCTTCAAGATTGTCTCAGATTGTGCAGCTAAGATTACCCACAAATCCTGCTGCGGCGGCCGCATGTCCATAGAGGTGAAATGCTAGAGGCGCTGGTACTTGGGTTTGATAGCACATTAAAGAACATCACATGATGAAAATTTTTGGAGCACTTCATTTCTGCATTCCTCAATCATATCGTAGCTTTAGGACGTAAAAACTCATCAATTATTATTCAGATTACCCGCAGTGCGCATGCTTTGTCTAATTAGTTCCTGAGCTCACACGTACATCAGCGACAACACTGAAATGTGAAATACAAGATGCATTCTGTCGATAATCAGATTACTGAAAAACACCAGGTCTGCGCGGTAGGCGCAGCACAGTCACAGAGAAAGCTAGAAGTGCGGCGTTTCAGAGCCCTTTCAAAACACTCATCGGGCAACTACTGCAAACACACTTGCTTGGTACTCACTAGGGCATTAATAGTAAGCTTTTGGGTAGTAGGCCGGCATTCGCTATACTATTTTTCGTCATTCTTCTGAGAAGCATGGTATCCGTTCAACACTTGCAAGAAATTTCGTACCAATTGTCCATGCAGCAGTGGCTGACAACGATGAGGAATTAAGGCTGAAGAGGGTATGCGCCACAGTTAATAGGGAAACAAGAACAAGATTTTGTAATGGGTTGGAGCATTGGACGGCCCACTCGTTAAGCTATTCGCATTGTGTGATGACTGGTTGTTCTTTCACTGTTGTAAAATGCTTTATAAGTCATAATAACGGGACCGCTTTCGCGATATCAAGCCTGCCTAAGGCAAGTTTGACAACTCACGAGCACCGGTGTAGCTCAGTGGTAGAATACTGGGCTGGCACCCAGCGGACCTGGGTTCGAGCCCCACTGTGCCATTAGTGCTAGGTCATGCCTGCCTAAGGCAAGTTTGACAAATTACAAGCACTGGCGTAACTCAGGGGTAGAATATTGGGCTGTTACCCAGCGGACCCAGGTTCAAGCCCCACTGTGTCATTGGTGCAAGGTTTTTTTTTCTAATTTTGCACGATCTGGTTACAAACACAGGCAGGGCGGCGGACAAAATGCAACTGCGCGTGACCCGAAAAGTGATCGCATAACAGCTTTTGCTATAAAACCGACGACAGTTACTGCCACTATCCGAGTGCAGTGCACTTTGCTTGTACTTTGAATTAAGTTTTCAGGCACAAGTTAGCTCATTAGCGAGTTTCGTTTCTACCAGAGTGACTTCCACTTTCTTTAGGGTCACCCCTACCTAACAATGCAATAAGTCTGATGAGTTTCTGAGGCGCACATGTTCTCTCACTCAAGGACGTTGATTACACGTTAGTTAGTATATAGATAATGATCAATTTATGCCAACAGAGAAGAATAGGAAAATTGATAGCAGCTTTATGCGCTCAACATAGGCCTGTACACACGATGCTCCTCAAAAACATTGCTACCAGTCATGTTGCTGCTGTGCACCGGTGATTCGGTACTGCAGCTTTTATGCACAAGCTGAAACTGCACACCGATATTTGTGCCATCGAGAAAAGACTTCTTAGTGAAGTTCGTGTCATTAGATGGCAATATGCTAGCTGGTCGGTAAGCTCAGCAGCGATTTCCATGATTTATAGAAATGACAAGCAAGAACCACTGTTAGCGAAGTGTCTGCAGAGCTGTCCTGTTAGGCAGTTAAAACAAACCTAATAAGTTTTTCGGAAGTAAACTGTTTTACTTTGGGACAAAACATTTGAGATACCGACAAACATGCCATTAAAATGAAATTGGGTACATTTTCAGAAACTTTCACGCCGTTTTTTTGTGCATATGCATTTTTTACTAAATTGTGAGGGCCTATAAAAACAAATTTGCTACTTTATTGAAATAGCTTAAGATACAATTGGCATTTATTATATCTGATACAATTTTCATGGCAGTATCTTGTATCGGTATTTCCAATACTTTATGCCTTAGTATCTTGTATCGCAATACAATTTCAAAGTACCTTTGCCCGGCCCTGAAGGCAAGGAATGTAACGAGAGCATTCTGGCTCTCCAACCAACGTTACTGCAGCGAGGTTTTATTGTTTCCATGTCTGCTAAGAAAACTAAGTGGGTAGTATATTGCCAAAGTTTCTCCTCACCCGTTGACAAGATCCAGGCAGCCTGCTCCATTCAGGCATGGTCCCGATTGACACTCGTCAATATCAATTTCACAGCGAGTACCCTCGTAACCCGCAGGGCAGTTGCAACGAAATCCGTTGACCTGCATTCAGTTCGATGCATCAACCTTGTGTACATTTGCAGCAGACTAGGAACAGTGAAGCAAACAAGGTAAAATGACAACACTGCTACATAGAAAAAGTGCTATTGCAGATAATGTAGTTATAAAATAAAGCTAAGATAGGCAATTTAAACAGTGTAAAATTATAGCATCTTTTGTTTGCAGTGATATTACATTAAAGGCACAGAATATGGGAATCAACAGAGGTGCTTGGTGCCGGGTCTCATAGTAAAAGCTGAGTTAATTCTTATAGAAAAACTGCAAATGAGGTTAGAAGGCTGCTTTATCAGAAACAGATAACACATTTTGCCAGAAAACAGAAATTCTGTAATATAATCATAATTTTTGTTGGTACTACATTAATGTTCAGTTGTTTGCGGTACAGCGTACACTGAAGGAAAAAAGTAAAGATACGCATGCTCGCTCAGCAAGACCTCTGGGACTGCCAACAATGATGTAATTTAAAGAGACCTCAAGACACTTAAAAGGGACCCTCGAATAGTTTTTACGATTTTGTACAAACACATTGGGCCAGAAGACAAAGTCTGAAGGGTCACTTACAGACTGATTTAAGCACTTTGCATAAACTATGCAATTCATTACAACACTTTTAAGCTGAAAAACGCAGCAGATCACTGTAGCTCAACCAAATGCATTTTCAACGCATTCGCAGTACGACATCCACTGGAAGCGCGACGTCACCCAGGCTCCTGATCCGATTGCCTGTGGAATGCACGGAAGTAAGATTGGCTGGTATGGCGACGGCACCTGCTGGAGCAGATATAACCACTCTGTGATCGCAATCTGTTGACAGACAGCGTGCGTGCTGCTAGGCACACTGGGCTATGGTCTCAAAGATCGCGTGTAACCTGTCGGCGTGCAGTCTCGGAGGCTATGACCTGACAAAGCTCAAACAGTCGAGTGCACTCGTGAGAGCTCTGCGATCAGCAGTGACGCCAGCATGTCTCGTTAGTTTAGGAGGCATAGCAGGGGTTAGAAGGAAAGTATGATACAATTTTCTATAGTGGCCTTGGTACACAGGGTGTTGCTAAATTTTCGGTGCAAATGGTTTCACGATGCTCAAGCATAAACGCTGACAAAACTTCAAAAAACCATTTCAGAGCCACTTTAACGAAGATATACCGTATTTACTCGCATAATTTGGGCATCTTTTTTTAATATTTTGGGGTTTTGAGAAGAGGGTGTGCAAATTATGCAGGGATTTCGCGAACACATATGAAATAATCCACAGTAGTCCTAACACATGCAGTATACAGATTAAAAAAAGGAAAATAAATTGTAGCACAAATGAAGTGTACTTGTTTATAACAAAATGAGCACGTACTTTAACCAGTCAGATCCGGTAACACACGGTCTAGTCGAAATAGCTAATCGAGAGATTCGATTGAGAATCATCGTCACCGCCGCTGTCATGCCCTCCTAAGATGCATTTCCCTTGGGTTCTGTCCAGCGCGTTTGAATATCCAATTTTCTTGAAGCTCTTCTCGACAATGCTAGAAGAAATGAGGTCCCACGACATGGCGATACTGGAGGACTGAAGCGTTTGCACATAATTGAAAAGGCCTTTTTCAGCGGCAGGAAACTTGTATTAGAAAGCGTGAACTTTTCTGCTTTCTCCAGTACTGATCGCACCGATCGTCCCACAATGCAGAACTTCATGCTGAAGTGCTTGGCGAGGGCACGATTCCGGTTTTCATCAGCAAGCTTTATAACAGCAAGCATGAATTTCGCCGTATATAAAATTACCGTAACCCCTCGCAGGAGAAAAGTAAAAAGACGATGGGCGAATGGCAAGACCTGAACTTCCGAAATCAACCAAGCGTGTATTGCTGCGCAAACGCAGAGAACAAGTAGAACAGTTGGCATGACGCCTCCAGTGCCGAAAGTTGTCCATGCCGGGACGCGAGCGTGCATTCTAACGGTAGTAGAGATGGAGAGATAAAGGGGGCAAACGCTTGAGCAGTTTCGGTGACCTGTCAACAGGTTTAAGTGTTCGTACATGGTATTCTCAGGACACTAGTTTAGGACAAGTCCTCAATAGAAGAGACTTTGCACTCCCAACCCATGCGGCTGTGCTCTCCTGAGTGGCCAGGCACGTGCCCGACATGCCCGTCCAAAGAATCCAAAAGTTCAAAGTCTCGTCATGCAGGCGCTAGTAAGCTGGCTCGGGTGGGTCGGGGAGCACAAAATATGCAAGCAAATATTTCTTTTTCGTAAAGCTAACAAAATATTAGGGGCGCACAAATCATGCGAGTAAATATGGTATACAGTCCAACCCTTTTATAGGAGGCAATGATATAAGAGAAAAAATGGGTATAAGAGACCAGTGTGCCCACAGTTAAATATGGGTTAATAAGAAAAAAAAGCCAGGCCTGCGGGAAAACACACAGCACAGTCATAGTGAAAGCTGGAAGAGTGGCCTCTCAGAGCCTTTTCTGAACACTCTTTCAGTAAGTGCTACAAGCACTCTTACTGGGTACCGACTACACCATGGGTAATCATAATTTTTGTGCAGTAGGCCGGCATCCCCATGCTATCCTTCATCATTCTTCAGAGAAACGTGGTATGCGCTACACACTTGCTAGAAATTTTCGCAATTTTTTTAGCAGTGGATGATGACGATGAAGAATTATGCCTGAAGTGGTTATGCACGACAGTTAATAGATGATCAAGACGTTTTTGTAATGGGTTGAAGCATTAGATGACTCACTCGTTAATGCATTTCGAATTGTGTGATGCCTGGTTGTTCCTTTGCTGTTTTAAAACATTTTATTACTCATATTAACGAGATTCCTTTCTCGTCATCAAGCCTGTCTAAGAGAGGCTTGAAGACAGGCAATTGAGTTTCAAGCACCAACGTCGCTCTGTGGTAGAATACTGGGCTAAGACACAGCAGTCCCGGTTTCGAATCCCATTGTGTCCTAGATGTATTTTTTTATTTCTTGGGATACTAGTTACGGACACCGGCGGCAGTGGCAGCAGCGAACAACTACGGTGCCGCACCCCTGTGACCAGTGTTCTGATCTCATATCAGCTTTCGCTGTAAAGTACATACGAGGTACCCTGCATATAAGGAACATCTCATACAAAAGACATTTCTGTTCGGAGCATGCCTCTTATAAAGGGGTTCAACAGTACTGTAAAATAAAGCAGTCCCATTTTTCGTCTCTTTTGCCTTGTACTTCTCGCTCCTGTCCTGTCTTTCTTCCTTTTACGACAAAAAGCACAGTGTGTACAAAAAGTAACAAGTAAAAAATGACAAATAAAGCCCAACACCACACTTTCACTAAAGTTCTTCAACAGAGATTAGTGTTGTGTGGTTGACTTGCAACCTTCAACATGATTTAGAAACCTGTTCCACTGTGAATTGGTGTCAGAAAACAACAGATCACTTACAAAAATATCAATTTGCTGCGCTTTGGTGCCCAGACTGAGTGCATGGTCATAATGGCTGGATATAAAATGTGTAAGAGAAGGTTCAAATCCCTACTGCTGTAGGGATACTTGCTATAGCTAGGCGATATGCAAAATATTGGGTACGAAGCAAATTTAAATGCCGTATTTACTTACATAATGAACTCACTTTTTTTCTCGAAAAATCAGAGCAAAGTTGGGGTGTTTTTATAATGCAGAGTAAATTTCATTAACACTTTTCTGGAAGAAAGAAAAAATGCAGAAATGCAAAAAAGTTAGGTCGCTTAGCCTTTTGCAATTTACATATGCGTACACTGTTTGGAAACAGCTTTTTTGTTGCACTTTACTCATCTTCGGTGGTTGATGGCACTATCTTCTGCAAGCTGTCCCAAAATGCTTTGCGATTATTTTTTCATTTTTTCTCACATTGTCAATATCATTTGACTGCAACAGGGGTATCTGTTGTGACCTCGAAGCGCACCCAAAAGTGTGCACTCATGGGGGAACAGGGAATGAAGGGACAGTTAGAGTGAAGGAAAAAGAAAGTAGGCTAAAAAATAAGGGGTGGGGAGTTCGCAGGAAGCGACCCACTTCAGTTGCTGGGCAGTTTGGCGACCTTTGCTGGCTGTGTGCTTATCAGCTGCTGTAATATCTACACTCGCACCCCTCTGTGAACCCTGCTGTGGTGCACAGATAAGACAGGGCACCTGCCCCACACAGATGGAAAGAAAAGCAATAGGCACAAGAAAAGCAATAGGCACCTGCAGGGCAATGGGCGAGGGGGGGTGAGTGAGCTGAGGTGGTTGAGGGGGGTCGGCAAAGTAATAAAAAATGGAAGAGAGCCAATGGGTGAAAAGGTGCCAGTTGTCTATTAGCAGGACTGCAGTGAATTATTGTAGGGAATGGGTGTATTACAGATAGAAAGAAAAGCAATACGGCATGCGGCAGGGGGCAAAGAGGGGGAGGGTGCGAGCCAAGATGATTGAGGGGGTTGACAAAGTAATCAAAAATGGAAGAGATATGACGGGTGAGGGGGCGCCAGGTATCGCTATGCGGGACTGTAGCGGATGAATGTAGGGGGTGTGTTTATTACGTGGGAAAAAGAATCCAAATTTCGAAGAAAAGTTGGGGGTGAATTTATTATGTGAGTGCATTCATTACGCGAGTAAATACGGTATTTATTAAAGTATTGGCTTTCAAATGGGGGTCCGCGAAGCCACTTCTGTGATCCGCAACACCCTCAACCGTTTTTTTTTACATTTTTTGGAGTTTCGTCTGTGGCTCAAAGTAAATACTGAAACAAAGTGAATGTGCCTGCATATGCCTATGCAACTTTGTTTAAGCACGACTATGCCACGTATTGATGAACTGTTCAAAATGAAGTGATGTGGTACGTTTGATGTTTTTGGTAGCAATGAAAGGTGCCTGTTTCACGCTCCAGTTGTGATAATTTACCTATGTACTCCCTCCCCCTCCCTCCCCTTTGCTGCAAGGGGTCTTCCATCACTTCCACCAGTCCACAAGGGGTCCCAGACACACCCGTGGCT